TAAGAGTGTGAAGATTCGATTAAACTAACGGTTAAATATTAACTTCTTATTCACGAAATTTAATGATTACCTTCGATATTGTAAAATCACGAGTAAATTATTACGAATTTTATGATTTACTTTCAATTAGAGATTAATATATTTACGAATTCTGTGTCGGAACCAAATATTCGTAAAATAAATTAATAAATTACACTGCGAAAACACCATATTCCTTCCGCGTTTTTCTGCGTTTTCCGCGTTTTTTCCGCGTTTTTCCGCGTTCATTAAATTACATTGCAAAAACACCATGTTTCTTCCGCTCTTTTCCGCGTTCTTTTCGCGTTCTTTCTGTTCTTTTTATTCTTGAACACGATTGCTGTCCCTCTCATCAGGTGAACGTTAATAAAATTGGTTCGTACCGGCAAGTAGTTGAAACGATCTTCATCGTGAAGAATTATTTCTTATTGGTTTTTGTAAAATCCATCCGCGACGTCTAGTTTGGTGCTCTGTTGAAAGTTGGGGATTTTCGTTGCAAGATTGGAATTAATCCCAGATTTTCCTGGCGATTCCTGAAAGCAATGATTTCGGTAGTAACTCAACGACGAGCGCCACACACCTCTTTAAAGTCGAATTAAGAAATCAATTTAAACAGTATATTTAGAAGAAAGATATATTTTCTTCTCAAATTAATTAACGCTGTCAACAATTAAAACTACTTAAAAAACAATAGAACACGGTTAAAACTATAGGAAAATATAATTAATTATGCTTATATAAATTTGTCTATAGTAGCTTTAAATGTGCATCGGTGCGCACTAGAGCATCCAACTAAATTCATAAATTAAAAAATTAATTGAATAATGTAATTATAAAAAAAATTAATAATACAAAGTTATATAAATTAAAAGCATGATTTGATAATGTTTGAAATGCTTAATACTTTTTAAGAATAAGAAAAAAGTGAAAGTAATTTATTGTAAATATCTTCTATACGTTATATTTAAAAATTAGGAAAAAAATTATTAAGAAAATTAATTTAAGAAAATATATTTATTTTACATGCGTATATAAACATAAAAATTTTCAATTATAATTTATTATCGCTGTAGTATATACTAGAATGACAAAACATCACGCGCAGTTAATAAAACAGTAATAAATCTCTCCGCATTGTTGACCTACAATGTGTTTAGCACGGATATACGCCAACTGACTGTTTTACCGTGGCACCGAAAAGTGAATTTGGTCATGTAGTTTCGCTGGCTCTAAAATGGATCTAGTTGACTATCTAGTTGACGATCTAGTTGGCTACTGTACGAACTAGAAAAAGAGTCTTTTGAAAAACAGCTGCGTGACCTCTCTTACATACCTCGACAAATATTGTCGCAAAGTTTGCGTGACTTGTCGTTTACTGAACATTGTCGATGCTCATTTGAACGCGATATTAATTATAGACGATTAAAAAAAAGAAAACAACAAGGCGCAAATACAAATTTTCAGCTTCGAGTACGGTTCGTTGCCGCGCATGCGTGTTGCAATAATAGCTCTGTTCGCGCCGCGTGGTTCGCATTCAAGGAGTTTAAAAGTTTGCGCTTTGCGTGATTTGCATTTATATTTCGGAATTTACTGGTCAATTAATTAAGGTTTACTCGAAGACAATGATTCGATATCCCGATTTTCGGACAAATCGACTCTGTGTCATCCTCGATACGCGACACAAAATCCAAGTTATCAATTATTTACTATGCAAATAACATTTAACATCTGCAAGCAAAATATTCGTCACATATTTTTACTTATCATTTAATGTATAAATGGCGATAAATGCGCTTATATTTTTAATTTTACTTGCATGTTTTATTTCTGTATTAATAAGATGCAAGAGAATTTCAACAAGCATATTAATTACTCTTGATAATAAAACAAATAATAATAAAATTTGTCAAAACATTTCTTTAAAATAAATCTAGGAGAGATTTTGCGTAAAGGATAATAAAAGAATTTTTTTCACACAACAAGGAATTTACATGGTAAAATCAGATAATATATATTTATTAATTATTTTGTTACTTTTCCACATAATTCTTTTACATATCTTATGAAAATAATTTAGCATGTTGTTTTTATTGCGCCAGTAAAAAAAGATATTTCAACCCTTAAGTACGGATTTTACTTTTCTTCATTAATGTGTTGAGCATCTGAATATATGTTCTTTTTTTAAACTATACATTACATTCTTTTGTTCTAAATATTACGACTTATCGAATTTTTCTTTCGTATAAAGAAAGCTATAAAATGCGGGAACTTGCATGTTTTCTTCTCGTTCAAGAACACAGAAAGAGACGAAATGACCAACATCGTTTCATACTTAAGGGTCAAGTCCCATAGCTAATCGCTGATAATATGGCATTAAACTTATTGAATTACATCTGCTTTTTTCACTGGATATCGAATAAATATAAAATCTATTTTCGATATATATTATATGGCACAAGCTGCCTAATCGCCGCGGAACAATATATGATTAAAATTTACATTCTCATTTTTATTTTCATATAAAAAATAATAATAAAAACTTTGATTTTTTGTCAGATAATAATAAAGTTGATTTTTCAAACTACTAAAAATGTTTCGCTCTTCGTAAAATTCATATGAGCACCGCAATCTTATAAATGCACTTCAAGAGAAGGTACATGCATAATTTGCAAAAAAAGTGGACTGCGGATTTTATAGTTCGAATAAAATGTAACATGCAACATACACGTTTTATATCAAGCGTAATTATCGTCAAACGCGAAAATGGAAGACAAATATATATTTTACAAGCAAGATCGTTTAACTGGGTCTACGATTACTAAAGTTAAAAAGTATTCAGTATTTCAAGCACATCTTATTATTCCACAGTTATCTGAAGAACGCTCGTTGCTCGCACCGCGAGCTATGCGTTGATAACTTATATCTGATTGCCCTATCATTACGTATATATATATGATTTATATCGCGGAATGAGCGTCAATTGCTACTAAAAATAATCCTGTTTACGGTACTTGTATATCAAGATAATTGAAAAAGAGATTACACGTCGCATTTCACGTGCATTTGTCATAAATGTGGCGTTTAATAGAGTGATATACAGGTTTATTGTTCCCTTTGTTTATAGAGTTTGTGATTCATATGGGATAATTAATACTAAACCGATTATTTGATTGTAAGATAAAAACAGAACACTTATTGAGTACACAAGAACACTTCATCAAGATCGTATCTCGCGATCATCGACCATTGTCGTATTGTACACTTATTAAGATGTATACATTTATCTTTCTTAATATATATATATTGCGTTATATATATTTTATATACTCGAAATATTCTCCATAGAATAACTTATAAAAATCCGAAAATTAAAAATCATACATGACATGGCTGCAACATGTAATATATATATTGTTATCCACAAATTTGTTTACATTTTGTTTTAATCTTAAAATTTTAATTTATTTATTCGTTATATTGTTAAAACCGATCGGTTTTTCGGAACTCTTTTCAAAATTCAAACGGTTATGGCAACATTTCTAAATGGACGATAAACCGCACGATAAAAGTGTCGATATGTTTGCCGTGGTTGGTCGATCGCGAAGCGATTTCGTAATCGTCGATCAAGGAGACACAGGCCGCGATTAGCGAATGACAACTCATATCGACGTGGTCGCGTGACAATCGGCTCCGTTTTGTGTCTGCTGCGTATTGTGTGGCAACGATGCGAGCTCGTTCCTACTGAGATGCTGCACGATTCCCGCACCGAGCGAATCGCCGATGACGTTCACCGTCGTTCTACATCGATCTCTGTAAATGAGAGAAAACATATGTTAAAGACGCCCTTTAAAATTGCAATTATAAAATAAAGACGCACATATACAAGCATGATATTTACAGTAACCAGTCGACCGCGATGATTAAGAAGACGTCATTGGCCGGAAGTCGAACCGTGTCCAACACCATTACCATTGTTACTAATCCGGCCTGTGGAATTCCAGCCGCACCGATACTGGCAGCAGTTGCCGTGATACTAAAACGACGCGTTAGATACAATAGAGTTAGGATATAAATATATCTTTTTCTGTAAGAAGAAGAAAAAAAAATTTAAACTAGAAAAACTCACCTTATCGCTACCAGCTGCCCAAAGGAAAGACCAATTTGACGCACTTGCGAGATAAAAATGGCAGCCACAGCTTCGTACAAAGCGGTACCGTCCATGTTGACGGTAGCGCCTATTGGCATGACGAATCTAGTGACACGCGGATCGATGCCATTTCTCTCTTCGAGACAGTTGATGGCGATCGGTAATGTCGCCGAACTCGAGGACGTGCCAAAGGCAGTGACAAGCGCCTGTGCCATGTTCGATATATAGATGTAAGGATTCTTTTTTGTAAGAAGAAAATACATCCCTGGCAGCACTAGGAAGCCGTGTATAAGAAGGGCGATCACCACAGTCAAGAAGTACATCCCAAGCTGGGCGACCACTTCGTCCAGCGACTTCATCTCCGTGATCTTAGAGGCGACCAGGGAGAGCACGCCGATCGGCGACAACCTGCGTACATAAAAACGCACAGGGATAATTTTGAAATTTTTAATTCTTTGAAGAAAAAGCGAGACGCACGGGATGGAGATATCAAATTGTCACAACAATGGCACATGACGATTACGCAACAATGTTATGCAGTTAATATGAGAGTCTTTCTTGGACAACTTGAAGCGTTTTGAGAAACGCATCACTTGCGAAACTTACCATATCACCCAGTTGGTGATCAACATCATGGCGCCGGAAAGCGACTCGAAGAAGTTCAACAGCGGTTTGGCCTGCGGTCCCATTTTACCGAGGGTGATGCCTAACACCGTTGCAAATACGACGAGTCCGAGAATGTTAGTGCCGGATTCTTCTTTCTCCTTCAGTTCCCATTCATCCACGGGGACTAATAGATGACGTTAATTTAGACGCAAAGTTACATTATGAAAAAACGAAAAAATGACTCGTTCCGTCTAAGCCTAAGATCGGATGTTCCAACTCTCAAGTTAAGATAATGTTCTATCTCTAAAGAAATGATTACCATTAGTAGCGTTCTCCGGTGGCTTCGGCTCGGTTCGATGTTGGGCGATGCAAGCCTGCACAAGATTTGGTGGAAACATATTTCTAACTAAGTCCATCAACGTATCGATGGTGGAAACATTTCTCGCCGACTTCGTGGTCTGCGCAGCGGAGCTGCCAACTCCAGGCTGGATCGAAACAACGAGAATTATACCTAAAATTAGATTTAAAGCAACAATCCTCATCAGTTCTACAACCGTTGAATTTCGCATTATTTCCGTCTACTTCATCGATCGCGAGAGAGCAAAGACGCACGATAAGATACGTTAGCATCTGCTACGTTGAAAAATCGGCGAGATAAATGCGATGACACAATGACGAGAAATAGAAACATTCAGCTAGGGTGCGACGATGTATCGCAAGAGGAAAATGATTGACGCAAGAGAAAAAGTTGAACGATATGCGCATAAGCAAAGTTTCGAGTTATAACCGGTCTAATCTCCAGATTAACGCAATAAAAGGTCATAGTTGCCCGATTAGCAGCTGTAAAATAAAATTGTGCGAGATAATTATCTCCGAGTAATCTTTCGGCCATGTCCGACGCGTTGTTCTTTGTTAATTACGGTCGTTAATTAACCGAAATGAGTCACGAGAATTCAGGGCTATCGCGCGCATTCCGACCATCAAAGATATGTAAATGAGCGGGGTTCGTGACATCTGCTGTTTGTTGCAATGTTTCTAAGAAATGTATCATTGTTCGCGCGCGTCGCAGTGCCGAGCGAGAGATGCTTGGCGAGATCCTTTCATCGCGATTCGCGCATCATCATTGACGTTTAACCTCGGTAATATGCTCGGTTACTTAAAAACATTAAAGAGTATTCAGTTGTGTACGAGAAGATATACGATCATATATATAACGGACATTTTTCTCTTTCAACATATCGTGTTAATCAATAATACGTGAATTAATCATACCTAAATTTAAATATTTTTACATTTATTACACTGTTTCACTTAATTTATAGCCAGTATAGTATAGTTTATACTTAATTTTTATTGCAACAAAACTTTTGCAACATCTTATATATGGTAGTTATTATAACATAGTAAAATACATTAAAATAGTTCTCTTTTGCAACTTTAGCCATAAATTTCTTAAAATTGTAAGAGATCTAGAGGCTAAAATCAGCATAAAAAAACTACAGGAAATGATCACCCACTTTCTTGTGATCGGAAAAGATTATTTCTTGTTGCACTGTGCCATTACTTGCTTTTAAATAAAATTAGGCTTCACTGACCTAATATAACCGCGCAGATGGTCGTGGCCGCGTAATAACCGATCGCACGCGCGCCGATTTTGCCGCTAAGTGACAGATCGAGCGATCCAATGGCCGACACCAGACTCGAAATGATCAACGGCAGGATCAAACTCTTGAGCATCCGCAGGAACAGATCGCCGAGATAATTGATGTACATAATCTCCCGCGGCGTCCATTTTTCTCGAGAATATCGCAGGATTATGCCGAGTATCACGCCGCCAAATACGCCGCACACAGTCAGTATAGTTAGAGCATTATGTCTCAGGCACGTTCGCACCTTCTGCCCTCTCGTTGGCGGCCTCTTGTTGGGTTCCTGAGGATAATACGAGCTCCTTTCCTTGATCTTGCCCTGATTCTCCGACCCCGACAAAGGCGACCTGAAAAAAGAACCGTGTCAACGATATCTTTTTGTATATACGTTCACTTTTCAACAAAACATCTTCTCGTGAAAGTTTCGATTATTTCATGATGATGAGCGTCGTTTTGCAGATTTCTCATTACGAACAACTCGTTGATGACGCATTGAAATATATAAAACATATGATTTTAATGATTCTTAATTTTAGGCACGTAAAATGCAGAGATGTTGTTTTAATTGCATATATAAATTCTTTCAGTTTCGCTATTTTTGCCGAAATGATAAAAATACAATTACTCATTTAAAAATACACGCACATATTTAATTTAATCTTATAGTTAAAAGAGGCACTATCTGTGATTGACGTGTCGATTCCAAAACGACTATTACTGTAACACGTAACAGTAAGAGAGAAGTGCTCGGGAGATTAATCTTCTTGGCGATGAGCGTGACTTTTCCGTATTTTCCATAAACCTTGAAAACTATAGACAGCGACATAAAACTTTCCTAATATATGTCGACATTCCGTGTATACATTGACAGACAATCAATAAGTATATGTGTAATGCTAATACCGGAAATTTTTTTCTCGTATTAATTTATCTCTTAAATATAAAAGACATTTCTTTGAAATTATTTCAATAAACGAGAGATATTGTGCGTAGTTTAGTAATCTCCCGAGAACTTATAATAGCTCATAAAATATCAACAGTTTAATCTCAATTAATATTAGTCTTAACATCAATTTCGAAAAACATACGATCTTTTTTCGAATTGTGCGCTATTTACGATCGACAAGAAGATGAACTGGTGAGTCTTTTATTACCTCGGACGCGATGCTGTAAAGACAGCATCTGTGCAAGGATTTATATAGTTTCATAAATACATTTTAAAACTTGCAAATTCAAAGCTTTTTATATAAAAAAACTTCATTATTATTATTATTTCACTTATCGTCGATTTTATTCATCAGATAAAAATATTTGTTCTCACGTCTCGAGATTGTAAATAGATTTTGCTTACCCTATTCCATCAGCGTTCATGATACTCGTGCAACCGAAATTACAAAATAAAAACGATGTAAGCTTGAAAATTTATTTTATGAAATTAATATCTTAGAATCGTTAAACAAATTATCAGAAATCGCAATATATTCATTTCCGTGACTTTTTTTATTTACATAAACAATTTATTTTAACACTTGTTTATTCTAACATTAACACTCGATTTACATTCAAATTCCCAAATATTTCGTGCAAAGCACGAAGTCTAGCACTTTTTAAAAAGATCACCGTTCTCCTTCACGCTCAGCGACGGACTGTTTTAAACCATCTATTATTTGAAACCGCGACACGTTTCATTTTCCAATTCTCTGAAACGCATATAAATCTCGGCAGTATACATAGAAAATTAGTTAAGAGTAGAGACCACACATTAACTCTTTAAAAAAAGCGCTCGTAACATAAAGTAACGTGTCATAAAAGAGAAGATGCGATGTTTCCAAATCGAAATTAGACACGAATTATGATGAGAGAAGCCGATTAATATTTTATATTAAATTAAATAATAGACAAAATTGTCAAAACAGATATTTTTTTTCCGCGCTAGATATTACGTGATAATGCACGTAAGAAGAACTATCGTAGAAGTATCGACAACACCCACGCGCGCTACACTTGGATGTGTAGTTGGCAAGAGACAAGAAATTACACTGCTGCGAATTATTGTCGGATCAACTATTATTAATGCTGCGTGATAAAGATCTGTCGAACGCCGCGATGTATTGTATTTAAGCCAATACGCAAGAACACATTTTTATTATTATTACGTTTACTGATATGACTTTATTGCGGAGGTACTTTAGTTTTGCGCTTAACGCTTAATTCAATTAATAAAGTAGATGCAGGTGCATATCTAAAAATTGATATAAAAAGCTCTAGAAAAAAATTACCTCGTTATTGCCTTGAAGCATTAGATGCTTCTTCACTGTTCTTTATTACAAGCCAACACTTTAATTTGCATCTCTACTACACTTCGCATGCTCAATAGTCGCTTTCCAAGATGTCTCGACTAGAGAGAGAGCATAGAAGAATCTCTGATTATTAATAGATGATTACGTGCTCTCTGTATTCAGTATACATGTCGCGTAAATAAATACACTTTATATGTCGTCCGACAATCGTTGAAATTCAATCTTATCGCAAATTACGAGATCAGAGCGATTCAGACATAAAATTCGTCCCACGCTATTACGACAACGTGTGACGCCACAAGGAACGCAAAAGGCAATATGCAAAAGAAGCGAATTGTGATAATCGGCGTGTGGATTAAAAGGAGATCTGTTAGAGAACAAATATGCGGACTGTCGATTGTCAGCCATAAAATTTATGCAAAAATCGTTGCGAGATACCGTCGAACAAAACTCATCTCGATGGCACGTGTCGCTCCGAAAATCGGTCAGGGATATCCACTTGTGTAAATTTTTTGGCTACGGTTACATCATCAACCTAAGATGTACAGTGGTTTATCTGTATCCAACGTTATTCATACAAAAGCGCGGCATTGCATCCTAATGTTAATACTAATGATCGTGATATCATCAATATTAATATTTGACGACACCAATAGTCCGGATTCTATCTATTTTGCCGATAAAAAATACAGTATCACGCTTAATAAAAAAAATAATAATAAATAGAAATTGTCGAAGCCAACGTGTACAAATTGTCGATGTCGAACTTAAATTTACTAATCTTTGCCAAGTTTTTTTCGAGCAATCTCGTATGCTTCGAGGTTCTTCCGGGTACACGTAGTCACGAGCATAGAACACCACGCAGAAGCGTGGCATGTATTGTCGGCTGTTGTACGCGCCTATCAAAATGAGTCTCGTAGTTCGTGTTAATAACGAAATAGAAAAGAAAAGAGAGAACATCTCGATGATAAATTCCCGGACTTGACGAAGGTAACGATAAAAAATATGATAGCAACGCACACGTGGGCGCTCGTCATGGATCGTTTCGCGGATGGTGCTATTGTGTTCTTGTCTCGCATCAAGGTTCCGGACGAATTCTGATACGTAACGTAGGGGGCCGTCCCCCGCGTCCTATTTTTGTATCCTATTGACATTAACCGGTATTTTTATCTTATCTTTAATTGTAATTAACTACAAATACTATAACACACATACGCAAATTGGATTCAACGAAAGAGACCCCTGGAGATGACCGGATAAATTCCCCAGCCTTAAATTTCGCAACGCGATATCTCTCATTAAGCGTTAAATTCCTGCGATGAGAATTTCGGATCTAGCGAACGATAGATGAATGGGAAACATCGAGGTCAACGAGCGCGAGATGACTTTTAAGCAGTTAATCAGCTGATAGCGTGACGAAACTCGGCGCGTATCGTTATTCACATATGAAGAGCGACACGTGTGTCACGCCATAGTTGAAAAATATCCCCGTCCAGCCGCGGACAGATGAGAAAAAATCGTCCCTGAGAATTAACGCCGAGCTTCAATGACATTTCCGGCGTGAATCGTGTTTTTTTTTCTCTCTCGCGGTTTTTTTTTTTTTTTTTTTTTTTTCGTTGACGTCAAGGTGACGCGTCGGGAAATAAAAATTTTACGGCTTTTGAGCACATCGAGTAGAACCATCGTTTGCATTTCGTGGAAGTGAGAAAAATCAGTATGTAGGACAACTGTGTTTATGGAAACTTGTACGCAAACGATCAACGCGAAAAGATTTAAACGTGCGATTAGAAATAGACGTAATAATATCGTTTTTTGTCTCACATCATCTTTCACATCCAAAATTTCAATTTTCACACCCAAATTTTCAATTTTCCTGCGTACAAACTAGCGATGGATAAATTAGATACGGTTACAATAAGATTAATTGGCGTCGAATTGTACAGTAGAATAATAGTGACACGTGGCGTACGAGCTGAACGTTCAATGCCATATTATATATGATGTTGGCTTCGATGAAAGTTCCAAAATTATCTCCGGCAAACAACTTGTTGAATACATTGCTTATATAAGAAGTTGCACTTGACACTAATGCAAAATTTACGAGATGCATGTGTCTCTCTCTCTCATATGTATTTCGAAAGACCAACGTCATTTGGTCGGAAATCTGAAAAAGATTTTCTTTGGACTACCCGAGAATCTCATCGATACTCAATATTTCATTGCCTCAAAGTTTGATATATTTACAATTTTACTTTGTAAAATAAAAAAAAAATAAAAAATTACAACCTGATTTCGAATATCACTAGGAGACAAAAATTTTGATAAAAGATGTTTAACGCGCGACCTTTCTATTTTTTTGATTAGCATGCAAACTACAACCGATTCTACACGTGTCACTTTGTAATCGATACCCTTAGGCTACAATGAAAATGAAAGGTTAATGAAAGATGCAAAGCTTCTCGACGAGAGAAGTGACAGGGAAATCGAAGAGTATTTCATCGTCGACGATCAAGAAATGACGGAAAACATCCATTATTTCGGATCGATACGTCGCATAGCTCATTAAGAGCAGATAATTCTCTGCTAATAAAATCTGATCAAAAGTAAAATATGCTCACGCTATGCGACAAGACCGCGGCACGCCTATCCCGCTTAATCAAATTCCATCGATCACATCGATCGTACGAGATATGAAATAAATTTGCAATTGTAGTCGCTTCGAACGATAGAAATAAATCATTATATTTCCTTATCAGCAATAAGGGGGCAAACATGCGCAATTGCTACGATACGTATACATTTTTCATTCGCACATTTCCGAGTGCGCGTTTCAAGCTTATCTCGTTCTCATTTATAATTAAGATCTCTTTCAATCAAAAATTTTACTGTCGTGTTTTACAGTCTTTTTATACAAATTTGATGGAGTTATCTCTATATTTTCGTACTCCAAAAGATAACAAAGACCGGGTCTAAACGATCTGTAATTCACGATGGAATTTTGATAATTTTGATTGATTTTGAAAAAATATCCGAAAAGCATACACGGGGATGCTGATCCACAGATAGAGCAAAGGCTGCGCACAGTTTAATCACGCAATGAATAATAATTTTTCTTATGCGTTATGTGCGCAACCGTCGTCTTCTCCCTCCGTTCCTTATCACAAAGAACGAGTCTGACAATGATTTAATGAGTAGCCGGCAAGTACCGCTGTTGCCATTATGGAATTCTGTGCCAATGAATCCCGTTGCCGCTGAATGCGATATACGACGCGGCACATAATAGATCACAACTGCATATATATGCATGTATATACAGGGTAGCTTCCATTCACGGCGTCGTTAAAGTGCGATATGCATTTGCATTTCTAATGGCGCAAATCGTAATAAATTTAAAGATCACCTTGTATACAAAAGTTGTATCGCGTTTTAATTCTCGCACATTTTACAGACTTCGTGAAGCAAACTATCGACATGTTATGCTACGTATTTATTTTGCATACAACGCGCGATATAACGTTAGATAAACACTCCTTTTATAATGTTTATGTTCTAATCTCCGCGATATATTTTTTCGCTACACACATCTCACACGAACAGTCAATGATTACAAGTTCAAGTGCGTCATATTGCTGCAAAATATGCGCCAAATTCCAAGACATTATCTTAAAATTTTTTAACGTTCGCGCATTTAAGAGATTATTACATTAAATTGATATGTCATTAACTTTTACCATGAATAAATCACTCAACTCTTTATTTACGATTCGATAACAACAATGGATCGTCGAGAAAAAAAGAATTGAGGTCGAGTCTCTTCTACAAGCTACTAACAGGACTAAAATCCACTTTATTCAAGAATAAGAGATGACATGAAAGTCAATATATCGATATAGATGTTTAATATTTTACTGTGTGATTATTGACAAATAAACGCGTATAAAGATGTGTATCGTAAAAACATAAGGCGATAATAATCACCTGTTTAAACTTAAAAATATATTACATAATATGTAAAAATCTAGAGAAATTAATTGCAACTGCAAATTAATTTAAGAAGAATAAAATACATTTCGAATTAAGAAATATGTTTAAATCAAGTATTATGCGAGATAGTTATTTTTGAATTGCGGATTCTCTTGAAAATCGTCGTTATCAAAAAACATGTTGCGTGAATTTCTTTATGGGTCTAGGCAACAAATCCCGGGGGAAACTGGGTCACATAAGATCCAAATGACAGAGGGCAAAGTTTATTCGATACACGTGTCGTGTATGATTATCAGCAGTCTAGCGACGATAGCTCATCGTAATAATCCAATATAATCCAAACAAATGGCCAACTAATTGCGTCATTAAAAATAGAAATACATTGCTCCTCGAGAAAGATACGCGGACAAATAACATAATAAACACATAGATTTATGCTCAAATGAAATTTCGCTATTCAAGTTGAATCATTTGTAAGAAAAAACAGTAGTTAAGAAAAATAAAGTTCGCATGCAGAGATACTTACAACTCGCTCGCTACTTCCATGATGCGCTTCCTATGTCCTGTGCGTTCCAATGAGAGCCGCTCGGCAAAACCGTTTACATAGAGCGTCACTTCCAGTTAGCCGGAAGCGGCGAGCGTCCCGGTGGGGAAGAAGATCACCGGAGCTGTGTATCGTCGAGGGGCACTAAGAGCAAATCTCTGTATCTCTCTCTCCCTCTTTTTATCCCTCTCGCGTCGTCGTTTCTTTGGGAATAAATGCACGTCGTGGTAGTGACGACGAAGAGATTAAGCCGAGAGGGATGAGAAGCGAAGGACGATAAGAAAAAGAGGTCGAGGACGCGTGCAGATGAGACGCTCCAACGTCGATTAAAACGCTAATCCCGATCGATTTCCCCTTTCTCTTTCTCTTTCTCCTTTTTTTCTCACTACAATTACAAGCGGAATGCAATTTAGCGATTCGCTGAATCGGATTAAATCGCAAATCGATTGTCCGAGGGACGCTTCCGGAAAAGTTGATGCACGGAACACCGTCGTCGATGCGAGGTAACGATGCGCGTACGAACTAGATGGACGCTGGGTATCTCGTTAGCTAGGAGAGGATGTATGCTGATGGGGCTCTCAATCTATGCCACCTTGGGTGGTACGATTAGCTATGGCGATCTCCCCCTACGACGATCTCTTCCTGCCGCTACCGGCTAGCCTATCATCGCGATATACGAATACGCGCGCTGTACGGCGGTTACGACCCCATCGGAAGCCGCTACCAGATCTCCCTATTGTTTGTCGGCGGCTTGCCCACTCGATTACGACGATCCGCCGCTGATGCGATTCTTCTCTTGTTTCGGCTACGTCCGATCTCGCTGCGAAAATGAGCCTTTCCTCATCCGAACGAATTCCAACCGTTGTCTCTTTCTTTCTCTTTTTTTTCGGAGCAAAACTCACTTATTGTCACTTTTGGCGATACGATTCGTTCCAGTTACTTTGGCAAATTTGACAGTGGCAGTCACTGGCGAGAAACGGAAATGCAAATATTCGTCGATTAATGAGCAGTCATTCTGTTGTTATCTGCAACACAGAAGATTAACAACGCGTTATAATATTAATAATACGCGTTAAATTTTTAACCCGTACACATTCTATACTTATCGACGTTTTTTTAGCATTTATTTTCAACGCTGTAATACGGCTTGTGATCAAACGCGCACGACGTTAATGAGCAGTAATCTTTGTCGTATTTTTCTACGTAACAAGTGTCAAGAACAAGTATTTTCCGCGAATGCAAAAAAAAAAAAAAATCTGTACGAATATATAATCCGATTTGCTTTTTCATCGTAACGCACAGCAACAGATATCGGTCGTTATGCTATGACACTTGTTAACTTGTCAACAGAATTGCGCGCTGTCAGTCATATTTCTCTTTTTTTAATTTTCTCCCTCTCTCTCTCTTTTTGTGCATATATGTTTACTATTTTAATATTAATGTAATCAAAATCCTTGAACGAGCCATTTGATAAATTATAAGCAACGCAATTAATGCAACACATGTCTGTGTACGACATGTAATCTATTATATAATACGTTTATCGATGGAATGAAGAGATAACCAGCTGTTGATCTAATAGGATACAGCAAATCAATCATTACAAAAATTATATTCTCCATAATTAACAGAATAATTCGTGATAATTGCACTACAAAATTATTGTAGCCAATTCCAGTACGACGTAATTTATTCGTGACTTATTATTAAGCAATTTTGCATATAACACGCATCCGATTCCATTAGCATCGCGACGGAAGAGATGGTAGAGACGGAAGAGGCTTGGATTCGTTACAAGGCGCGTAAGCGGTTTGACAACTTTAATTACGACACAAGAAAAGATGGACTCGTGAGTTAATCGTGCGGAATAGCCGGCGATACGTTTCACGCCTCGTCGACCGTCGATTATTTCGGCGTACACCTTAGCGTGTAACGTGCAATCAAGCGCGGGACGACCGGTAATAAAAGGTCCTAAAATGTCCCTTTACGGTCTCCTCGCTTCAAATTTAAGCTCCCTGATTTTGTTGCATCGTTTGCGATTAATTTCGTATAACCTTCGGACCTATAATCGTTTGCATGAGCATTCATTAATCAAAATGTCGACCTGTACACAACATTCGCACGGCCTTCGTTTATCATATCTTTTTTTTGCAATCTTTTTGCTTACGTTTTTTCTTGAGTGTTCCAGTTACTTTGGCAAATTTGACAGTGGCAGTCACTGGCGAGAAACGGAAATGCAAATATTCGTCGATTAATGAGCAGTCATTCTGTTGTTATCTGCAACACAGAAGATTAACAACGCGTTATAATATTAATAATACGCGTTAAATTTTTAACCCGTACACATTCTATACTTATCGACGTTTTTTTAGCATTTATTTTCAACGCTGTAATACGGCTTGTGATCAAACGCGCACGACGTTAATGAGCAGTAATCTTTGTCGTATTTTTCTACGTAACAAGTGTCAAGAACAAGTATTTTCCGCGAATGCAAAAAAAAAAAAAATCTGTACGAATATATAATCCGATTTGCTTTTTCATCGTAACGCACAGCAACAGATATCGGTCGTTATGCTATGACACTTGTTAACTTGTCAACAGAATTGCGCGCTGTCAGTCATATTTCTCTTTTTTTAATTTTCTCCCTCTCTCTCTCTTTTTGTGCATATATGTTTACTATTTTAATATTAATGTAATCAAAATCCTTGAACGAGCCATTTGATAAATTATAAGCAACGCAATTAATGCAACACATGTCTGTGTACGACATGTAATCTATTATATAATACGTTTATCGATGGAATGAAGAGATAACCAGCTGTTGATCTAATAGGATACAGCAAATCAATCATTACAAAAATTATATTCTCCATAATTAACAGAATAATTCGTGATAATTGCACTACAAAATTATTGTAGCCAATTCCAGTACGACGTAATTTATTCGTGACTTATTATTAAGCAATTTTGCATATAACACGCATCCGATTCCATTAGCATCGCGACGGAAGAGATGGTAGAGACGGAAGAGGCTTGGATTCGTTACAAGGCGCGTAAGCGGTTTGACAACTTTAATTACGACACAAGAAAAGATGGACTCGTGAGTTAATCGTGCGGAATAGCCGGCGATACGTTTCACGCCTCGTCGACCGTCGATTATTTCGGCGTACACCTTAGCGTGTAACGTGCAATCAAGCGCGGGACGACCGGTAATAAAAGGTCCTAAAATGTCCCTTTACGGTCTCCTCGCTTCAAATTTAAGCTCCCTGATTTTGTTGCATCGTTTGCGATTAATTTCGTATAACCTTCGGACCTATAATCGTTTGCATGAGCATTCATTAATCAAAATGTCGACCTGTACACAACATTCGCACGGCCTTCGTTTATCATATCTTTTTTTTGCAATCTTTTTGCTTACGTTTTTTCTTGAGTGAAAAAAAAAAAACAATAAATATGAAGAAAGGTTTTTAATCATGGAAAATAGATTATAAATTAAATTGAAAATTTTGTATACATTTTCGTTACGCCAATATCTTTCTCTATATACAAATGTAAGATAGATTTATTTTAAGATAAGATAAAATATTATGTGAGATTTATATGTAGATAATAAATAGATAGATAAGTAAATTTATTTTAGGATAGAATACAAGTTCATGCTGTACTTCATCTTAAGCGATAAAAAACCTTTCATTTATGCAAAAACATCTGTGTAAGTTCAAATTGATTAAAGTCACATGAATGATAATTCGATCTAAACAGACATGTGTTTAGTCTTCCCGCATATTGCTAAACCGCATATTAATAAGCCCGTACAAGGAAAACGTGCACTTATTGTTTACTTCAAGATACGAATAAACTCGTCGCACTTCAATTTCAAAGAATACAATTTCAAAATTCTTTTTCTCAATTTTCGGAGCTACTCTTCCGGCGCTTCGTATATATACATATATATATCAATATTTTTATCGCGCAGACAATATTCTTAAGTCATTCATCAAAAGACAGAGTACTCGCGTACCGTTGAGATGACACACTAACGAGCGTCGCGGGTCGCGATAACCAATCGCGATATCTCGTGCTAAACGTGCGTGTCTCGCGATTGCACGCGCTCCCGGATAATATGAACCTCGGTTGCGCGCGACGCGACGACGATCGCGGGACTGTGGCGGTGCGGCATAAAGTTGCTTCTTTATAGTATGGTGTGTGGACGGTTAGGATAGTAGCGCGCGTGTGACGTTCATGCCACGCGTTCGAAAAGCGCGCGAGAGAAGGGTGGAGCGCGGATAAGACAGAAAGAGAGAGAGAGAGAGAGAGAGAGAGAAAGAAAGAGAGAGAAAGAGAGAGAAATAACCCACGATTAGGTAGATGAAGCAAAAAATTATGTTTAATCCACGGATGAGTGTGTGTACGTTTCGACGAATATCCTCAATAAGATCGCACGGAAATTATACTTTTCTCTTTCTCTCTATCCTTTTTATGTCTCTCTCGAATGGTAATATTTTGAACAATTTTGGATAGATCATTATCTCGCTTCGCTTTACTCTACTTGTCTCGATGATCTCTGATATCATTCGTTAAAAACCGGCAGAGTAAGCATGAGTCTGCGAAAAGAAGCGAAAGACTTTTGTAATTCCTGTTCACGATGGGAGCATTCTCAGGAACAGAGTAGATATCCCGCGCTCACGCTCTGCCCTCCTTCATCTCCTCCTTGTCCTCTCCTCCACCGACTTTGCGCGGTCGCCATGGCAAATTCATTGTCACCCGGATTCTATGTGCGCGCTTCTATTTCCGTCTGACGAACGCAACGAATCAGATGTCAGGAGGTACTGCCCACGCGACGCATCGCGAGGATCGATACAACGCCTGCTCCTAAAATTCGGGTAATGAACGAGGCGCCGAAACACGTCTCCCTCCTTTCGCGCATCTTGAATTATCATTTAAATTTTACCACACTGTTGCTCACACACATGCGACAGAAAAATCGGTGTGATATTCTTGACAATAACATACTTGATAAAAGAGGGGAGAAACGCGTGCTGTTCTTCTCAAGAAGTTGGCGCCGTTGTTGAGTCAAATTCGGAGTATGCAGCATCCGTTTTGGCGCGCGATCCGTCTCGGACTCGCATTCTTCATCTCCTGTTGATTATGAACCCTTTCTCCCTCTTCTTTTTTATCGATTTTCAGAACACGGCGTTGCACGGGAGAATCCAGTCTCTTTCCTACGTCCGTCGACTTTATGGAAACGCATATACTTGCCGTCCGTTTTTTCGAACAGGAATTCGCGATTCACCGTGACACCGAGAGAGAGAACGCCGTTATCCGGCAGCTGGCGAGACGCGGGATTACTTGCTACACGCGTGCGCTACGCGACGACTAGCCGCGCCTGTTGCGTGGAGACAGTCGCGAGAGCACACGCGAGATTGAACCGTACGATACTCGAGCGCGGGGTAATTTGAGCCAAGCTTGAGTTCGAAAAGCGCGCGCGGGCGACGAGGAATCGGCCTTTCTATCCGACCGCGCGGTTCCATCACCTTTATAGGTGGAGCCAGCTGGCTATTGCCTCGATAGATTATTTGCTTCGCTATATCTGTATCAGGGAGCAATAGTATAATGAACTAAAACAAGAAATAAGAATTTGGCATTTTACATATACGCGTGTCATTGCATTGTAGAAATTTATCTTGAAAATATATATGTATTTAGGATGATATTATACCTTTATCATGCCATATATTCATTGCGTTTTTAATCCTAGCTATAAATATGCACACATTGCATTTAGCTATATATTGGAAATTTTATAATGATTGATTAAACCTGTTCACTGTTATATTATATAACAGATATGATGCTGATTTAGATGGAAATAATTGATCTTGTGTGTGTGACGACATATCGTATAATTGTAGTATACTGTATTTCCATTTACTTGCCTGCAATTGCAAAAGAGCAATTAAAAATGCTATAGTTAAAGAGTTAATAAAAAGAGGTAATCAAAATACATACATAAAAATTATATAAATATCAACGCAAATATAGCGAGCAGTCATCGATTACGCATTCATTTAAAGCCATAGAAGGAGAAAGAGAAGGAGAAAGAGAAGGAAAACGTGCCGTTTTTTCTAACGGCAACAATCCGATCTTTCAGCCCGCGCCAGCGGAAATACACAGTCAACGTTAATAAGTGTTATCCGAGCTTGATAAATGATTCGTGATCTACATGTAAAAATAATTTCGATTATTCTCTCAGGACGTGTATCGAACAGATCGAATCGCTCCATTCATCCGTGCTCTTTCCCCGCTTCTTCTCATCGCTCAGAATAAAAAATAAATCTTCTCGACATTTGCGCGACGTGTCTATGAAATAAAATCAAGATACGATCTAAATGGAGGCTATATATGAATAACAACGTATAATTGCTATTTTTATTTAAAACAGCACGTGTTTTCATGAGAAGCGGATGCTCATGAAAGAAATGGAAGACTAACGGGATTATTGTCTGCGTCGCCGGTCATGACAAAAAGTTGAGAGCCACTGGCGCGCGTGCTACGCGAATGCGCGAACGCAAGTCACGACGAAAGGATGGGAGCGTGTAGTCGGCTACGTTTTAACACTGTTCGATGCGCTTACATTAAACGCGATCAAAGAGAGTTTTCCATAATACTGGAGGAAAATTCATTTCCATTTACAAAATTAATCATACACGATTCTATTACTCCCCCTTCATGAGGAATGAGGAGGATCGCAAAAATACATCGGCGCGAATGTGGGTACCATTTATACACCCGACTGTACACGTGCGTATGAAAACTGCGTCGGGAATGAATATTCCGGGGCCGCACGCAAATTGTCCTTGCGCGAGTTAATTGTCATGCGCGACCGCATTAATTACCGTGCTCTCTTTTCCACGCTCCGCTCTTTTGCCTGAATATTCAATTGCGAACAATTCAACCGGTACCGTCGTAGGTCAATGCTAGATTTGCCGCCGTTGTATGCGAAGAGATTCTATTTGAATTGTCGCCATCGAGAATACTCGTGACCGGAATTATTTATTCGCATACGCTCGCGAGCGGAGATGAGATTAAGCTTCTCGCAAATAGTCTCGCGAAACGTAAAGTAAATGCTATGTATAGGTACGTAGGTACGGATGAATGACCGGTCATCGGTAAATGGCCACTTAACCAGTACCTATTTCTGACGTTATAAAAGTAATACCTTTTTCTTTCTTTCTCTCTCTTTCTCTCTTCTCTCGTTAACTGGAGATAAACGTTGATGAAGAGTATCCTCGCATAGACAAATCTGCGATTTGTTTACTATTAAATGTTTACTTTTTCTTTGATAGTTTGAGACAGCTAGATTCCTCAGTAAGTCAGCTTGTAATATTCCGAATGTATTTTGAGATTTATGGCCGCGGGTGCTACGCAGCTCAGCCAACTGACAAGTTTATTCTTGCTGCAACATTTATAAAATCCTTCGATGAAGAAATATTTAAATGTAAAGTATTTTAAAAATAATTTTTATTTTATTTTTATTTTTCTATTATTCTTTCCCTTAATGCTCGCGTTGTTTCTCACCTCTTCGACATGCTTCGTAGCAACTCCTGCGAGAGACACGGATGTAATTGCAAGAACGGAGTGCCGACGATAGGATGAATCGCTTGCGATAATTCCATGTAATTTAATTTGGAATCGTGAATTGTTTGAGCTTCATTTACGCTCATTGGGTTAATACCGGGGAAATCTAAAAAAAAAGTAATAACATCAGAACTCTTTCTCTCTCACGACAATTTCTTCTCATTGACGAATATGTAAAAGATGACCAGCGTTAATAATTAATCTAAACGGTATGACGCATTTCCGCTCCGTTAAAATGCGTTATCGAGATTAATTATACCGTCGGAATATCTGCGCGAATATCGAAATAAGCGAACACGTTTGCGTTTATAATCAATAAACGATGCATACGAGATGGGAGAGGCACGAATGTGTCAACAACCGTGCAAATTATGTATTTATTTCTATAATTTTCGAAATTCTGAAATGCATTTTATGTGTCTTATTTTTTTCTCGGTAACAGATTTATATTTTTCCATAAAAGTTGTTCCCACGAAAATCATGTGATATCTAAGTGACACGTGTTATTTTTCACATACGTTTTTGCCAAGTAAATCATGTTTTTTTTTTTTTTGCGATCAAGATGGTGAGTTACCTGATCTCCATTTATTAAAGTAGAGAATTGGAACGCCGTAACTGATGGACCACAAAATGTGATGCTCGGTGATGAAAGGCGTTTCGATTGTGGAACAAGCCTCGTGCGGATCCTCCTGAAATTTCACATGGAATTCCTCGTCGTCGTCGGTCGATTTGTCGTCTCTCATAGCGGAGTCGCTCGACACGAAACACTTGGTTCTTCTAAATAAATACGCTTGTCCAGGAATACCCTAAGCGTATATATCATTAGATAATAAAAAAGACGTTTCATACGAAATTTACGAAATTACGATGAACACATCGCCAAAACAATAAATCTATTTCTTAAACTTTGGCTTGTGTTCAAGTATCCGTGACTTCAATATCCACCCGAGGTGCGCATGAGTAAGATCATTTTGAATACGTTCAAATATTATGAAATATATTTCGTATATTTGCAATCAACAACGCGATGTGTAATTACAAATGGTACATTGACAATATATATTAGTACCATCCAATTTGCATATTTTACATTCGATACGGGAGTAAGAAATTCGATATATAAAATAACATAGAGTTGTACCTTATCCCCGCGAAGTTCCCATCCATCCGATATCCTGTCTGAGACAAAAAGAAACCTTTCTGCATCCTCGAGAAATTCCTCCCATGTAATTGTGCCCGGACCGTCCATATATGAATGCGAAAGCGGCTAAACATCGAGAAATTTATTTTTATATAGTCACGCGAAGAATCATCTGGTAGAGATAGATCGAATACGATGCATACAGATCGCACTTTGTGACAGGAATCCAAATAAAAAATGTATGCTCATATATACATATTACATATATATCTCTCTTACTATATACATAGTTTGAGTTCTCCAAGTAAGTCTCCCGGTTAATTCTATAAGATACGGATAACATCTTTACGTGATTTATTATTACGCTCTTCTTTTCGGATTAATTCGCGCGAAGAGGGGAAGAAGCGAAATAATTACGAAAGAGTTTTACCTATTTCGCATAATAACGACGTCGATCATTTGATAAAATTGAAAAAGGGGAAGCGGTTCACCCGAGAGAACAGCGTGTCTCCTCCCGCCCGTACCGCGCTACCCCCCTCGCCAAACTCTCTATCGCGTCAATTGTCGACTATTTTGCATCGGTCGCGTCCGTCTGGCTTCGGGCGTGATCGGGCGTACCGGCGGTTCTTCGTTTCCCCCCGGCTCCCTGTCATTTCTACCAACCTACCTCGTCCCTTCACCCCCGTTTCCCCTCTGCCAACCATCTCGTCCACGTCTCTGCGTTTTCACGACGCGCGTTCTGTGTCGACGTACGCACGCCGATAGTAGTCGACGGTGTGCGCACACCGTGTATATTATGCTCCGTGTGTATGCAGCGGTTCGTCCTCCAATCGGGCGCCGAGTTGCAGCCAGTGACGTATCGCGAGAGAGAAAGAGAGCGAGCCCGAGTGCCGTTCTTCTTCGTCCCTCGTTAAGGGCAGGTCCTTTTTGGGACAACTTCGTCCTTTATTCAGCAATGTGCTGCGTCGACGTGTTTCGCGTATAATTTCTCGCTTGTTTTACGCCTGCGCCTTTATTCGCAATATCGAAATATCGACCTATCCCAATATCGGTGCATTTTTGTCAACGATGGTATCATCCCGTGATATATCCCGTCATATCGCCAGGCGTATTTATCGCGGAATATCCTTGCGCGCCAAAAATGCACTCGGCCACGCTTATGTTAGGGAGATAACGGCAAAATAATCCTACAACAATCTTGTTATATACTATAGCTATAAGTCTAAGATTATATTAAGCCAAGATTGTGGCAAGAAATTAAATATATTTTAATTATCCCGTAGCATATGCGAGAAATGAAATTACGTAAAACTTGTCGCGCATAAATTTAACGTAGTTAGCTGTCACTTTTTACTGCAATGTAATTTATTTATCGATAGCGTATATTGCAAACGCGTCAAACATAGAGAGATATTCAACGCAACATTCGATAAAGTACGATAAATTTTCGTAAATACTTAGTATTTTATGACATTGATGAATTTACGATAGTTTCAGGTAAAAAATTATGACGTAACGATTCTTTGTTGTAAAATATTTTCTGTGATTTTGTGAAACTTTCTTTCTCCCCCCTCTTTCTCTTGAAAAGATCAACTGGATGAAAATCCAGTTGATCTTTTCAACTGCGCTTCAGGTATCGACGACCCTTATTTTCTTTTGTGTGTATGTATGTATGTATGTGTGTAAAATAAAAGAAATTCAATTTGTTTAGGTAGCTTATATGACTCTCTTGCAATAAAGTAAGCCAAGTGTGTTAATGCCCGGTTTCCTCTCCAGAGAATACTCGGTGACACATAGATTCTTTTTATGCGACTATACGAAATAGAACTATAGAACAAATAGTATAAACAAAAGACATATTCCGTTCAAATATTATAGAATAACTTTAGGGGGTACCTAGTGCATTGTTCGCACTGTGACAAAATAATACATCTAGAGAAAGACGTATTTTCTTCTTTGTGGATAAGACAGAAACTTTTGAGTCTTTTTTGCACTGTAGATTAAAATAACTCGACCGCAATCAGTCTTTCATCGCTCTAGGGAATTGGCAATAGGCGTAATCTGTGCTGTCGCTTAAATATTCTAAAATTCCAGCATTAATGTCAACGCCTCGTATGTGCAATTATTTATACATTTAATTATAAACGAGTTCAGGATTATCGCTATCGGTAAACGCCAGTATCGATAAGAAACTGAAAGAAGAAAATTCTCTAGCGCGACGAAAAAAGGAACGCGATGCCCGTCGAGGAATCGTGGGAATAAAATGATTTCGAGTTACATTATACCCGATCTTTCTCGCGCGTATCGATACGAGAAGAAAAATCGTGGTTTCAAGGAAAGCTGACGCTCGTGGCCCCCCCGGTTTGTTCGTTGTATGTACGATCCTGACATAACAAACGGCGATGCGCGCGCATCGTGCTCCCAGCCGATGCGAGGGACAAGGACGGTGCGCGTCGATATGGCCGTGAGATGGAGCGAGAGGGAAGAGCGAGCGAGCGAGACGAAGCGCGACGAGAGTCGAACAGTGGAGGGGGAGAGGAGAGAGGGGCGCGTATCGCGTATCTACCCGTCTACTTATCTGCGTGTAGTCGTGTAGTCGTGCAGCGCGTGCAAAATCTACGAGCTACACTTCCGAACTTGCCCGTGTTTACACGACGGTAAGTTCAGTTCGTCTTCCCTCTCTCCCGCGCGTGTGTGTTGCATACTGCGTACGTGCGCACGCGTAGATGTGTACGTGTGTTGCACACCACGGTTGCAGTTACGTAGCGATACCACCGTTCCCGTGTCGCGAGACGCTCTCGGTCAGCGTGCGCGACAAAACGAGACTCGTCGAGAACGAAGGCCGCGTCTTCGGTGCGGCGATCACGACGACCGGGTCCGAGTCCTGTGCGATACGATCCCGGTATGATGCGGCGAGGGGAGACGAAGCCGACGACGGTGGTTGGCTAGTGAAGTGAGCGACGGGTGTGAAGTGAGAGACCGACGACGACGCGAGTGACACGGTATCGCGATCGAAGACAATAGAACGCGCGCGTAAGCGTCGTATATATTATATTATAATACGAAATACCGTAATACCACAGTGTCCGGAAGGAAGTACAGTGGAAGGATGAGGACGGCGACGGCGGTTGCGGCGACGAGGCGCCGCTAAAGACGCACCTGAATCCGACGACGACGACGACGCCGTGATGCGTCGCACCGTATCGCTCCAATATCGCGTAGTAGAAACCTCGCTCCGGTTGTGAGACGACAGCTTTCGTGACGTGACGCGACGAAAGCGTGAGGAAGAAGACCTTCGTCTTGTCTGTGTGCGGGCGAGAGAAAGAGAGAGAGAGAGAGAGAGAGAGAAACTCACCTCCCAAGCGAGACAGATAGAGAGAGGGAGTGAGAGAGAGAGAGAGAGAGAGAGAGAGAGAGAGAGAGCGCGTCGGACGCGAGTAGTTGCACCTTTTTTCGGTTTCGTCTACGTTCGTGTTTGATACGAGTCTCACATTGTCGTAAGCAGCAGCGGCAACAACCAACGGTGGCGACGACGACGACGGCGGCGGCTGCTGCACGCCGAAGGGATTATCATCGGCCGTTGGTGAGCGAGCGAGCGAGATAGACGGTGAACCGCACACACGGACACACGCACGACGGGCGCGCACACGGACGTGCGCGAGAAAAGGAGAGAGAGAGAGAGAGAGAGAAACTCACCTCCCAAGCGAGACAGATAGAGAGAGGGAGTGAGAGAGAGAGAGAGAGAGAGAGAGAGCGCGTCGGACGCGAGTGGTTGCACCTTTTTTCGGTTTCGTCTACGTTCGTGTTTGATACGAGTCTCACATTGTCGTAAGCAGCAGCGGCAACAACCAACGGTGGCGACGACGACGACGGCGGCGGCTGCTGCACGCCGAAGGGATTATCATCGGCCGTTGGTGAGCGAGCGAGCGAGATAGACGGTGAACCGCACACACGGACACACGCACGACGGGCGCGCACACGGACGTGCGCGCGCGCGCGCGAGAGTCCCCGATCTCCCGTTCTTTTCACTCGGCCGTCCGAGCCGAGTGCGCGACTTCCAGCGGCGCACGAAGGAACGGCGGCGCACTTGTGTGTTTACGGTGGAAGGATTGACCGGCCACCACGGCGACCATGTACGCGAAGGGAAAAGGGTCGTCCGTGCCATCGGACTCTCAGGCGAGAGAAAAGTACGTATCCCTATGCGTGGCAGGAATATGGAAAGATGGGAAATTTTTGTGAAAACTCTACGCCGGCCATTGATCGCTCGCCAACTCCATTTTTCTCGAGCATCCTCCTGGCTCCCCTCCCACCCCCTTTTCCGTGTTTCTCTCCCTCACCGACTCCCGCTCGTCCGTGCGGTTCTCTCACTTCCCTCTAGTCCCCTTCGCCCCCTCTTGCCATCTCTCTTTCTCTTTCTCTCTCTCTCTTTCTCTTTCTCTCTCTTACCGTCACCGGTTTTTTTTGCTCAAAGAAGCGCGCGTACATCGTCGCGCGACCGAGGAACCCGGTTCGTCGGGTTAATCCAGTTTACCGATGCGATGAGCTGTCGATTTGTTCGTCTGTTTCTCCCTCGTTCACTCTTTGTCCGTTTCTTGTTCAAACGTCACGATGCTTCCCGCCCTCTCCCCGCGCTCGAGGATCGATTCGAGTCTTGACGTACGAAAGGCTTAATCGTTCGCGCGACAGGCTGGCACGCGTTATCGCGTGATAAGAATCCGGAAAGAGATTTGCGAAACAACGCTGTCAAGCGAATAATCTCGGTTTCCAAGTTTCAATTCTCTCAATCGGCACACAGAACCCTAATGGCGCGAAACGAGCTTAGCGCGAGTACACTTTCAAAGTTTAATCAATGTTGGAATTTTAGCAGAGAATTAATTGTTTTTGTAGCCCTATTTTTGACAATCTAATTTTTTTTTTTTTTCAATTGCATTTCTTGCATTAATTTTCTTTGCTCTTTCTTCTGTCAAGGATCGAATGTACATTAACTTTATGTTGAGAAAGCGAAACTAAAACGAACAAACTTGTCGAGAATAAGGTCGGGAAGTTGTTAAAAATAGAATCGGACCGTCAAAACTGTCGATGCGACTAACTTCAGTAGCAACGATTAATTCTAAATCTAAATCGCGATTTAATCGGCTCTCTTTACAAAGTAACCATAATTGCAAATGAAAATTTAAAATATCATGATTGAACTAATCAATTGGCAAAACTCATCTGTGTTTAAGGTTGCAGTTACTATGTTAACGATATATAAAAATAAAAAGTAACGAGAAAATTCAGGATGCGGATGAAAGAAATTTTAGAAGAACGAGAAGGATAAGAGAGTGGAGATGAAGTCGACCGTGTGGAAAATTGTTTAGCCGGGATTCTTTTCTCGAGTAACCCGCTTTCTCGTAAAAGGCGATTGATCTGCTCGCGCTGTCAGTCACTTCGAACGAGTACGCGCTCCGGATTCGCGAATCGGCGTAATTCCCGCGCCATGTTCGCCATCGTTCGCAAAGCCGGTCTCGCCGCGAATGCATTTCGCATGGATGCGCTTTTATACCGCGTGTGTGTGTATCTACCTACCTACGTAGGGAAAGTCGGCGTTAAAACTTTACGTTTAACGGACGGCCCCATAAGGAAATGCGATTGTCGGCGTAGAGGCGGCTTCGCCGAGTAAAGTACGGGCTTTCTAAAACGATAATAAAAGAAAAAACAATGCCAGTTGCGAAGGATCTGTTATTTTTATAATCCCAAGTCTATATTTTTTTTCTACTGCGTTTCGCATGTTATCTCGAAGTTCTGTATTATTTGAAATTTCTGTATTATTCGAATATTATTTGAAATTGGAGAGAATTTTTCATTTAAAAATCTGTAATTATACATGTCGTTTCAGATTGGCACTCTACGTGTATGAATACTTGCTACATGTAGGTGCACAAAAAGCAGCACAAACATTCCTGTCAGAGGTAATAATCAATCCACAGGTAATAATGTGATAAGGGTAAACTTTTTCTAATTATTTTTATATCTCGGTATTATATTCTGAAATACTGTATTTGTGCTATAATATTGTTTCTATTATTGTAGATTCGATGGGAGAAAAATATTACACTTGGAGAACCACCTGGGTTTTTACATTCTTGGTGGTGGTAAGTACAAATACTTACTATACTTGACGGCTAGCGCATTGACTTAAGCATCTCATTTAATTTATATTTTTTAATTTAATTTTTTTTTTTTGCTATATATTACTAAATTTAAAAAATATAACAAACTGCTTGACATTAGAATATCTTAATATAAAATAACTGTTATGAAATTATTTCAGTGTCTTTTGGGATCTGTACTGTGCGGCGCCTGAAAGAAGAGATTCCTGTGAACATAGCAGTGAAGCCAAAGCATTTCATGACTATGTAATTATATCAACAGTATTAAATTTTTTTTTTAATAATCTACAGAGGATTATTATTAACTATTTAAATATTAAAGCAAAAGTTTTAATATTTAAATATAAAAGATATGTAAGTATTTATAATATATTGCATACTGCTTACAATTTGTACTTTCTTGTTACAGGGATTTGTGAACAGTGCTTACAACGTCAATGGTATTGCGCATGTAAGTTGAAAAATTTATATAAAATCAATATTTGTTAAACATATGTACTTTTTAAATTCTATTTTAATGCATATTTATATTAATAGTTATGTTAATATATAATCATATTAATAATTATAGTACTCAGAGAAAGCAATCTTGCAAATATTCTTTTTATAAACTAGATATTTTTTTTCCAAGCTAAACAAAGTTTATATTAGATATATTGTACATTAACGCTACAAAATGTTCACAGAATGCTGGGCCAGCACCATCTCCAATTAGTCAGATGCCACCAAATGATGGAATGCCTGGTGGTCCCATGCCTCCCGCTTTCTTCCCAGTGAGTTTTCATTCATTTAACAATATTAAAGTCTGTCTTAATATCATTCGTTTCCCTCAATCTTTACTTGCAGAGTATGAAGTGAAAAAAAAGAATCGATCATTACTTGGCTTAATTAAGCCATCACGTAATTACATTTTAATTGCATTTATTAATCTTGCGTTAAAATGCATTCTAATCTTTGGTGAACTGAAAGATTCATTCAATTTTAATACATATTTATTATAATAATCGATATTACAATCATCTTGTAATATTTTTTCTAGAATACTCTCGAATAGATTTTACACGAGAATTTTTAGATATTTTGGAGAGAAAAAGAAAAAAAATATTAAAATACATTATTAACAAGTGTCAAGTAAAACAAATATTTATATATATATATATATATAAAATATTTGCAATCGCACACAAGCAGAAAATAGAAACTTTTCATCATTTTCTATCAGTACTTTATTAATATTATATATACATATATATATTTTTTTTAACGATATAAATACAATTTTATATAATTTTAATATTTGTATTGATATCATTCATTATATTAGAGGATAAATCACACAATATACAAATACGAAAAAATAGCAATATTATAAAAATATATAATATAAAGTTATAAAATTTATGTGGAAAAGAGGAAAAATGGAAAGACGTCACGCATCTATTGCTTGTCAAAGTAGCCACTCTCTACTAGATTAGACAAAGATAAAATATTACATATAGTATATATAAATGATGGAATATTTCACTCTTTAGATCTTTCTAACTTAATAGGTATTTTGTAACGCTTAGGAGTCATATCTTCCCTACAAAGTTTGTTTTTACATTCTACAACGTTGTACATTTTACAATTGATTGGCATCCTTTCGTACTCTTGTATGTTTCATTTCACAGTTTAGTGTTAGAAGCGATCTCTCACATACGAGTTGTAATTATGAAAAGAACAAGTACAAAGACAGACTGAGAAACGTCATATAGATGATTTTCCTAATTACAACTTTTTTTCGGGTAACTCTTAAGATGCTGAGACCGATCATAGTATTAACACAATCATCCCCAAAAGCCTTCTAGTCTAGCTGTTGCCTGGATCGCAGTGTTGCTACATGTCTGTCGTTTGCGTTGCTTGTTGCAGAACAACTCGACAATGCGACCATCTCCGCCCACACACCCCTCATCACAGCCATCCCCCCAGCACCCCCAGCCACCCCCGCCCCCACACTCGCAGATGATGCCCAATCAGGTAAGCCTCATTCAACACATACACTCTCACTCATGAAGAATCACTTGTTCCGCTGTGTCATCGCACCATATCATGGCATAACCGAAACTCATAACTGTCGTCATAATCGCTATAACTGTTTCCTTCTTGATGTCAGACTATACTACAGAAATATATCGCACAAGGTTTTTCTATGATAATATGGAACATTATTATTTATGGTATACAATAAATGTGATTCAAAAAGCGCTTAAAAAATACATGTCATGATATAACCAACTTATGTGCTGCGATGAACTTGACTGAACTTGCATATTTTATGGCCTATCATCTTCACGGATTGCTTATGTGGCTGCCTGGTATTTATACTATATCTAGCCAGTTCTGTGTATAGAGAGTAATCATGACTTACACTTTATACGAATATTTTTAATTTACACCCTCAAATTATGATTATATATAATCGTTACATAATCAACGTGATGAGAATCTGTTTTCTGTTACAGTTTATGGGCCCCAGATACCCAGCAGGACCACGTCCTGGAGTACGTATGCCACAAATGGGCAATGACTTCAATGGGGTAAGTGTATGAGAACTTATATTATTCACATATGTTATGATTGATATTCGGAGACATTTTTGTTATTTAAAAATATCTTAAAAATATCTCGTTAAAGTATATAAAGAAATAAGAGAAAATATTATGATTTTCGGCTTTAATAATTTATTCTTATGTTTTAAATATATATAAGAAGTATAGAAATATATTATCATGCAAAATATTGTAAATTTACGTTATTCTTTATTTCTCTCATAGCCGCCAGGACAACCAATGATGTCAAATAGTATGGATCCTACTAGGCAAGGTAAGAGATCATTTACATGCCGGTGTTATATTACTTTTTTTCTGGCATTGACGAAAATTGCGAGAGGAGAATGGCATAGACGCATGCATACCAAAAACCACACAGCAATAAACGAATAAGTAATATTTTAAATTGGATTGGATTGCTGTGATGTGGAGTGGATTGGTTTTTGAATTGTCTAGTTACAAGCAGTGGTGTAGTTTGGATTCGTTTGTTATTGCTATACAGTTTTGTGTAATTAGTATGCAAATATGTATCTCTCTCAATGGTTCTCTTTATCGAATATTTTATTTGATATGCTTTCATATATTTTTTTTTAAATATTTTTCGTAATGAGTAATTGTTGCTGTTACGTATGATATTGTGTCTTCCAAGAATAGTTGTCATTTCACGATCAGAAAATCCAGATGCGAGAAAATGCAATTTATGATTAAAGAATATTTTCTTAAAGTATTATAAATTTTTAACTGGTAAATGGCTTATACATTCAATGTACCTTTAGTTAATCACAATCGCGTCAACATAATTTATTCCAAATTTTTTCCAAGAATTGTTTTTAAATAAATTTTGGGTATGTTGTAAGTGTGTTTAGAGATTTTTCATCGAAATATAATTTTATCTACTATACCACTGCAAAATAACTAGGCTTTACCACCATGAACCCGACCTTACCTACCTGCCGTACTAATGTGTGCTCTTGTGTTCCTCAGGCGAAGCTGGAGAATTTGTAGGGTGGCAAGGTAGGAAGCAACCCAGCAACCAAAACACACTCACATGACTTAGTCAAGCCTAACTTTTATTTTTTTTTCTCCTCCTTGCCTTTAATTTTTTTTAAGTTTTCATTTTAATAAAGATAATTGCACCGGCTTTGCTCTTTTGCAAAATTATTCGCTCATTCGAATTAGCATTCAGCATGGCAATCGTAATTAAATATATTAGACAAATATTTTACTTACCTGTGTGTATAATGAGTAATGTGTACAATTTAGAATGAATTTATTTTGACATAATACAATAATTGTGTGATATTTTTGTGCGCGTCTTTGATTTAAAAAGAAACCGTAATATATGTATATTTAGATTTTTTTTTTTAGATTAAAAGAAAATATTTTATATATATGTATATGTGAATATTTTTAAATTAAGAGATATATTTGAATGTGTCTAATATCAGCTAAAAACTCTTTTGAGATCATGCTACATGCAAATGAAAAGGATAAACTGATCATGTTTGTGTTTAATAATATGTTTAAAGCATTATTAATACCATTGTGTATATGTGCTTCCTACAAAACAATATTAAATTATGATCCAAATATTACCCAATAACTATATATTGTTGTATAAAGCGAAGAATTGCTTTTACATCTGAAATAATTCTTCAGAATTTAATGATATAACTATATTTTATTTATTTATTTATTTTTTTCATTATTAAATATAGGATTTAAATAATTGTTTGTAATATCCTTTGCTTCCCCAAAATACATGTTGCAATGCTGTTTCTTTTTTCAGCATGAGCTTTTCACTGTTAATTTGTGTGGTGACAGTTGTTTGACTAGCATGTCATCCAACGGCTTTTTACCTTGAGCTCGACTTTGCTAAAGCATGACTCTTAATTTCGGCACTTTGAATCCACACTTAATATTATTATATTGCACATGATAGAGCCAGATACACAATCTCATACACAATTTATTATATCGTAGAATTTACAAGTTCACGAAAGATTTAGTCTACAAGATCGTAATTAGCAGTTAGTATTAACATAGAGCTAGAACAAACGTTAACAATCTCGTATATTTAGCGATCAAATATATCAAATTTTACCTACTATCCTAGGTCCACCGGGAATGAGCCCCATGAATCCGAGAATGAATCCTCCACGCGGACCGGGTATGGGTCCGATGGGTCCTGGCAGTTATGGTCCAAACATGAGAGGCCCGCCACCCAATAGTACCTTGGGCCCGGGTGGGCCAGGAGGTCCTGGAATGCCACCAATGAGTATGGCTGCTCCTGGTGGTAGACAGCAATGGCAGCCAAACACATCTACGGTACGATATAAACATACAAATTTTTATCTCCCGCCTTTTGTATTATCTGGTTTTAACTGCGACTTTAAAGATTGCAAAATTTCTAATATGTATCTTTTATACAATGATGCGTAGCCAATGAATTATTCGTCGTCATCACCGGGTAACTACGGAGGACCACCTGGATCAACAGGTCCACCAGGGCCTGGAACACCTATTATGCCTAGCCCCCAGGATAGCAGCAATAGCGGAGGAGAAAACATGTATACCATGATGAAGCCTGTACCTGGGGGAAATATGCCGGGTGTAAGTGTAATTAAATACGAGTAATACTTGTGCCGTTATACATTAAATTCTCATTATAATTACTATTTTATATTCAACAAGTTACACGTTTCAACTAAAATTCTTTTTGCAATTTATAAAATAGCGAAAATGGTGTTTAAAGTGTTCCTATAGAAATGTGAACGCGATATATTTTAGGATTTCCCAATGAGCGGTGGACCAGAAGGCGGTCCAATGGGACCCATGGGTCCTAATACAATGGGTCCGGTCTTAAACGGTGACGGTCTCGACGGGATGAAAAACAGTCCAGCGAATGGTGGCCCCGGAACACCGCGAGAAGATAGCGGCAGCGGAATGGGTGATTATAATCTGGGAGGATTCGGAGCTCCTGGAGAGAATGTAAGTATGCACAGGTTTTTTAACAACTGTTTCTAATGGTGACTCGATGTGTTGTTGTGGATTTGTATGCCGATGTTTTTGCCCGATAAATCATTTCTCTTGTTCACTTTATATTATTAAGAGAGATTAAATTTGAAAAAAGAAATAATTCTAAATTATTACTTTTTTACATTATTGTTTTATATATGCTACATGGCGTACAGATTCATGCTACAACTTGTCGCCCTTCTAATCATCTCAATTAACAGCCATAAGCGCTTCTATCAGTACGGCGGATATTTCACGTATTTTGCTAAAATAATATGGGTTCAGTCACACGTTCAAAGGGATTTATCTTCAGCCTCGCTCCAACAGGCTTGTTTGTTAATGCTTTCTTACAGAGTATCATTTGTCCCTATAAATTTTTCGAAAGGTGTTCTGTTTAATCACGCGTTATATGGTATTTTGGCAAGTTTAATCAGCCAGTCACATGTGGTCGCATCTAATATGTCATATAACCGTATTCGCTGAAATTGCGTCTAACTACTATCGCACTAACAGTATGTCTAACGATGCAGTTATAAAGTGGGCAGAAAAACGACGAGACTTAATGTAACGTTAATATAATATAAGGATAATGTGCCTTATTTTATATATAAGATAATTATTTATATAAGATAACAAGATCGCGGAAAGATACAATTATTAAATTAAATTTTATAAAAGTATAAGATAAAATCTCGTTCTTTTCAATATGATATTTAATCGATTTACATTAAATACAATAGTTTTAATTTTATTGCTTGTATTAGTTTTCTTTAAAAGATAGCATATATATATATATATATTTATATATATTCTGTTTTAAGTGTCTTGAATTTTTTTTGCGTACTTTATAAAATGAGATATCAAATTACTTTCGTGCGACAAAGTAACCGAACCTTTGATTGAATCGCGTGAACAATTTTACATGCTGATCTTATATGCTGTTGTATAAGATTATCGGTAGGATATGACAAGGAACAGTCACGACGCTTTCATCTCTGATTTTGTTGAAACTTTGTTGATTTGCATGATAATTGAAAGTGAATAAGATTCTTTTGCCAAACCAAAGATTTGTACTTGACAGATTGAAGACATTATAACTCGAAAAATATATTTATGTCTGAAACGATATTTATACATTTACTCAATCTTTTTTTAAAATTATTATTTATAATAATAGGTCTCATATTTTTCAAATATTTTAAGCGTAATTTTTAATATTTTTTAATTCACATATTTTAATTTAAAAATTTCTTCCGAAATATTGTTTATATATGCGTATTTTGTCTCTAAAGCCGAAATATTTATTCGTAACAAAAAAATTTGTCTTTTTGATCTTTCATATTATTCTGCAAAATTTGCAAAGATTTGTCGTAATCCGCAAGTGGCTGCGTCGCGGATGTTCCTTGCGAGCTGAAGAGAGTTATCAGTAATCACGTACGTGCACCTTCTCTGTATTCTCGACAGTTTTTTTAAAAAATCAAGTCGCCTTGGAGCCAGCCCCGAGTTCGTAGATGCCGTAGACTCTACACGTGGTGCCGGTATATATACACGTAATATGCGGAAAAAAAGCATCGCACTCGCTGCGTATTCACGTGTTTCATGGTGCGTTCCGGCTAGTTTCGTTATAGTCCGGCACATGTAGTTTTGTCAATGGGCTCTTACGTTCGAATAACGAGCTATAGAGCAAAAGAACAGAAAGATATTCGTGTCAGACGCGGCGTAACATGCGGTCGTTATTGATTGCTCCTGCTCGATTAGGGTTAGCACTTAAGCGCTCATTCATTGCACTATTACTGCTACTACTACTACTACTACTACTATTACTAAACGGCGCAGATACTTTAACAACGATTATTCGTACACGTGCGATTTGCCGCGTAGGAATACAGTATGTATATGCTTTCTCTAAATACTCAGAAGGTTGCAAGACTAAATATATTCGTCTTTATATTTCTTTTTTTATTACGATATTATGATTATATATATAATTTGCTACGGAAGCTAGCAAATATTTTACTTAAGATTTTTTAGCAGATTATTTTCTATTATTTATATTTATTTGACAATTAGGTCATAAGCAAAGGTGCCTGAAAAATTACGTAAAGATTGTTACAAAGGGATATTACACACACACATACATGCATTCACGCATACACACATACATACACACATGGCAATTTGCCTACACAGATAGGATATACGTACATAACTATCCGCTACTGTGATTACTAATCGCATAATTATTAATCGATTTTTACGCTCTTGTTTTTTATCTCGTTTAAACTCACTATTTTAATTTATTAGTGCTGTCAGTATAAGTCTGGCTACTCGGATACCTACTCGTTATATCCAAACGCGAACATTATCCGAGTGCCGAAAATCGCCGAGTACAAAATACTCAGATATTTGAAATCGCCGAATATTTTTATTAATCTAATATTTTTTAATTATTTAGGAACAGTGTTTACGAATAATTTTAAATTTTAGATTATTTATCTATATTTTTCATATCTGAAATATAGATACATATTTAGATATACGTGTAATATCACATATATTTATATATGCGCGTTGAAAGTTAGCCGAAAACTTCGATTCAATTTATCTGGGAAATATTCTATGTAAATATTCTTTGGTTGTTTATTTCGAAATAAAAAGAAAATAACCACCGTGATAATACCTGAAATTACCGGATATACGGATATTGACAGCACTAATTTGTATCGGTGTTTGACCTATTCTTCATCGCATTATAGAGTTAGCATTTTAAAGCGCAAAAGAATTTTACGGCAAGGATATATCCCGCGCGTTCACGTAAATCTCTTGTAGTTTTAGCTTCTGCATGTCTTGCATAATCGCGATTACGAGACTCTGTAATGAGGTCTAGACAAGCTCGGAGTCCCTCCACTTATTTGCTCACAATTTGCTCCCGACATTAGGAGCAGGCGTCTTTCGTCCTTCTTGCAGCGTCATTAGCATTGCAATATTTTATGCGTATGTACATGTCGTTCACGAGATACGCGCGGATTACCATTTTTGCTCACGGAACAAAATCGACGCGAACGTACGTAGAAACGATTAATCAGATAGAACGGGGGAAAGCTCGCGTAGAATCTTCGACATTTGCGATTGAATTTTCTCCCCCTATTGAAATTCTCTCGGGATAATACGATTAATGCCTAAACACAAGTCGCGCTGTGCTTCTAATAACTTTTTTCGCAATAGCATAAATACTATTTATACGATAATAGAAGTGCGATAATTAAAATCGTTCCTATACTTAAATCTGATCTCTGAAAATGTGTGTAGAATCGGTCAACGTTACGTTGGTTTCGCCGTCGTTCTTGTACAAAATATGTAAAGTTTGTCGCATTGCTCAATTTTTATTGTCATACTCGTAGGACGAAAAGAGAGGAATCTTTAAAGGCAGAATTTTTAATCTATTTTTAATTGTTGACGCTCGGTTGTTCGATTCGAACAACGATGGTGATTCGTGTAAGTTAATCGGTCGTAGTTTTCACATCTCCTACATATACTGGTAGCTAATTAATAAGATTGTACAATGATAGAGGCGGATTTCTCAGCGAACGGTAATTCGACAGCTCGAAGTTACGCAGTATTGCGAGGCGAATGGTTTACTGCTACTATAGTTTAAACAAGGTACTTGAGAGAAAGTATAAGAGAATTTTTATATATATATATGTGTGTGTATATATATATTTATATATATATACATATAGATATACATATAAATATATATAATATATATATGCAAATGTTAATATTTTTGTATGAACATAAGATACGTGCGAGTACTGAACCTTTAAAGAGCGAGTATAGATAGAGAAACGGAAGATAATGCGATGTGGGTGAGAGGCGAGAGATTCCCGGAATCCATCCGTCCGCATTGATTATAGGTCAGTACTGGACTATACTGTGCTGCTATTAGTTATGTTTAACTTATAGTGCCGAGAAAAAAACATTGATGGAATTTTATGTGCAGGAAAGAAATATATTATCAAAGTCTTCTGTGAAATACATAGTCTTTTTAACAACTCGTATGAACCAAGATACATATTAAACCAATTATACATAAAGGACTTTTTAATTTGGCTGCAAGCATCTCCTGAATCATTAATAGAACCACTTCACTCTATGTTAAATAATGTAAGTTAAAAAAAATTATATTTATAATATACTTATTTAGCATTTCTATTATTTTCTTTATATCTAAATTTTTATTATCTTATAAAGATTCATCCAAGCAAAGCAAGCATGGGATTGGATTTAGTAGAACTGGAAGTGGCAGCTTATTCTGTTCAAGAAGAGGGACTTGTTATAGAAAATGCTGTTCATGAGATGGTTGGACAAATCGATGAATTGTGTTTAAATGATTCTGAGAAAGAAAAGTAAGTACAGAGTTAATATTTTATAAAGTTTCTCGAATTTTGTCTTCATATTTTATATACTCTATAATTTTGTTTTAAAGGCCAAAGAATATATATCATGTTAACAAACAATTTTTTAAGCATTTGTAAGTATTTTTATATATATTTGGTTTGATTGTTAACAGCTGTCTTTAATATATGTGTGTGTTTAACATTGCTAACATTTATTCTTTGTGTATTATTTCTAATATTTATCTAATATTCACATTTAACTTATATTATCTTCATGATGTGTAGATGATATCTAATTTTTTTGATTACATGTTACATAATAACTAATACTCGACATAATATAATCATTGCAAAAAAAAAAAAAAAAAAAAAAAAAAAAAAAATACACGGAGAGAATGTGGACGAGAGAGAGGGAGAGAGAGAAAGAGAGATGAGGAAAAGAGAAGGAGCGAATGTGCGTATACGCAAGTATGCATGCTCTGGGGTTAACGGCAAGACGTGCTTGCAAGTTTTTTTTTATTGTCTCGTAAAAGAGCTCCCGTTGTTACAAAAGCTATTTCGCTGAACGTTCTCGAGCGTTCTTAACGCTTTCGTTTTTGGATCTGGGCTCGTGGATTAACAGATTGATCGCTACAATAAAAAAGGGTGTGTTTTTTTTTTTGCTTTACATTATTTGCGCTACATTTGTTACAAGATGCGTAAGTACATAGTTTGATATTTTGACCAGCGAAGTGAGAAAAATCGCGCAAGTTTTTTTTTTTGTTTCATCGATCACTTGGTAGATCGCCGAAAGTTGTGTGATCGCGATTATAGTGGAACGTGGTGACGGGTTTATCTTGTAATTAAAGCTTACAATGACATACGAAGCTTGCAATCTGCGGAATTGTTTGCGAGAGATATTGCAGGATAGCCTCGCAGAGGCTGCTTGCCGATATCCCCGGAGTTCACGTCTTTGCCGTTAAGCCCACATGTCAAACGGAGAAAAGAAAGTACACGCGCTTGTACGGAGAGTCGCAACAATCTTTTCTTTTTTGATCACGAGGTCATATATACACGAGTCAATGAGTGAAGGAAAAGCTCGGTGAAGCGGCGCATTGAGGGTACGAAGCTCGAATACGATCGGTCTTTGGACGAGTCTTGAAAATCAATGTGCGATGTCGATTTCACGATAGTCGTTTTCCTCGAATATGTGGGAGAACAACAAGATTGATTCTCGCGACGTGTGAGGATTTTCGATTTTGAAAATAACGTAGAGATTCGCGAAAGGGGGAATACAGTTTGGTACCCTTAATGCCAACTTACTTGATATTATTCCTCGTTGTAAGCCGAATTCTTATCGCTGAATGATAACATAATTAGTATATGCCTAAGCCAGGGAAGATCGAGACAATAAATGTAATCCTGTTACACTGAGACTATTGCGTTTTTCTTTTTTATTTATTACGATTCAATCCGAGGGGTGCTGGCTATCATCAGTATTTATATATAACTATCTGTCTCCGTGTATTTGCACTTGTGCTAATCACACACATACATCACTTGTGTTTCATTTGTTTGCTTTGATCGTTCCATTAGCCGATTAGTACGCGGTCAATGTTATTCTTTTTAACGTAAATCGCTAATTATTCTATATACATAACTTATTCGCTGGATTTTCCGACACTGTTTTGACGCTAAATCGAAACGTTGCACTATTCATTATTGCTGCGGCTGTGGAACACACTTTGTCATTAATCGATGTTGCACTTTCGTTGAGAGAGAACGTTACTTTGTTTCGTAATATATATATATATATATATATATATATCTACATAAGCGAAAAATCGGACTAGAACGATAGCTGTATATAGTACTAGCCTGTACTGACCTGTAGCACATGGATGCGTCAGCGCAAAGCGAATCGATGGATTGCGAGAAATCGGAAAAAAAATAACGAGACAAAAACTCCGAAGAAGGCGGAAGAGTCTTTCTCCGCTGGAGAGGAGAAAAACATAAGTGTGTGAAGGACGACACGTCGAGTTTCTCTATAAAATATCTTTTTTTTCACTATACTACCTATCGTTTATAGTCGATGAGGTGTGCGTACGTGGGGGGGGCCATCATTATTATTATTATTATAATTATTATAATTTTTATTATTATCATCATCATCATCATCATTGTCATTATTATGTTGCTATGTATTATTTCGGCTCGACACGGGCTTCACTATCTTACGTAACGTCCATGTGTTGTGGGTCAGAGCACCCTTAAGCAAACAGTACTTTAAGCCCCACTTTTCTTTCGATTCCCGACAACGAGATCGACACCTCCCAGTGTCTTCTCCTACGGAGTTTTTCGTTTTCACGAGCCCGGCCCCTTCACGACGCACCGCCATCACGCTGCGTTTTTAAAACGCGTATTCACCGGCCAGCGTTTTCGCACGATGGGTGAAGACTGAACTTTTTCGCGGGACTCCTCGGTTTCGTTCGGCTTCCTCGCGAGTAATTCGGGAATGTTCTTATCACGAAAGTCTGATACGAGATTGACGCAAATTCGGGTATACTCCTTTATGTAACGGCATGAAAACAAAATTTAATCGCGATGTTCTTCTGAATTCCGCGCCGTTATCGAAATTTTGTCGCGTGATTACCGGGAGTCCCACGAATCACGCTGGTGAATGACGCTGCGCGGAACTTTGGGCAAGGTTGATGGGCTTGCCTGATCGTTTTACCGTATAACCGGCCTGGTGTTGGTTGATTCGCAGGATCAGACCGAGTCGGCGGCCATCCTGAAGATCAAGGAGAGCATGCAGGAGGAGGCAAAGAGGTTTGAGAAGGACTCAGACCATCCCGATTATTTCATACAATAACTCTTCACGAGTCGTTGGACCCCGAGACCAAATTAACAGTCTAAGAGATAAACACAATCGATTTCCTTTCTTCCTTTAGTCCGATAACTTAACTATTTCCCCCTCCGCCGTGAAACCATCCTCTCTTCCCGTGCGTTTTGTCTTTCCTTCTCTCATCCCTCTCTCGGATCTCCCCTGCATCTCACCAAGCAAAATCTTCTCCTCTCTTCTTTCCGAGCCGTAAATTTATCTCCGAAGGGAGAAAGGGCTCTCAAAAGATTCCCCTCCCGCGCGTATTTGCGACCCGTCCTTTCTATCGCGCGCTGCGAGGAGAATCACAACGTCAAGACAAGAGAGATCTTTGAGATGGAGACAGAGAGAAAGAGAGCAACTCGATCTCGCGCAACTCTCATGTCGACCGACGTTATCGCACGGCGATATTGTACAGTATCGGATATTGAAAGTGCTGTTATCCTTAAGATGGGTGCACTGCGAGCGAATCAACAGCGAATACGAGTTAAGTCTATTTAAAATTTTCCTGTGATGTTTCGTTTTACGAGCAAACTGATCGTGAGCCAAATCCGTATCGAAAAAAATGTTCGATTATTTTATTTATAATGATTATTCCATTTATACCACGGCGGTAAAAATATTTCCCGAAATTTTTAACAGCGAAAATTCGCTTTTTCGCTGTTTGTTCCTTCAATGTTTATCCACTTTTAGGCTGCGACCGCGAACATTGTTTTAGTATCTTAATATATGACGAGGAGAAAGAGGGGGAGAGAAAGTGAGAGAGAGAAAGAGAGAGAATGTGTGATAGTATATTAATAGTAAACGTTAAATTTTTGAGATTTTTATGACAAGTAATGCAATGAAATCTTTTAAACGATGTTCCCGATCGCAGTCATCAATCGTGTAACAACCTCCATCGTAATATCAGTGTTGTATAGTCAAATTTATATAACCGAGAAACGGTTGTATCAATGTCGTCTAAACTAACTGATTAATTAAGACTAGAATTATAAATTCTAATTTGCTAGTATACGGATATCCGGATAACTGATTCACGTAAAATTATTATTCAAATCTTCAAATATTTGGATAAATCGGATCTTTTGAAATTCGGATATTTGAAAAACTGGATCTATTTGAATTTGCAGATTAAATAAAAATAATATTTTGTTGTCTTATTATATTATTTACTTTATATTGTTTTATGTGTATATATATATATATATATATATACACACATATATATCTATATACAATATAAATTTCAATATAATGATAAATTTTATTCTACTGTATTATTTATTATATTATTATTATGACAATTAGTTTTCTATTTATTTATTTTTTATGATTCGAATAGTTTAGATCCGAGTTTATGAAATTGTAGATTCAAATTTTGAATTAGATTTTTAGATATACATTATCAGGGTAGTGCACATATCCGGATTTGAATAATCGGATAATAATAATCTATATTATATTTCATATAATTTGTATAATTAAATTATCTGAATATTTATAATTGATTTTTCTCTTACTCTATATATAATTTGGTTAAACTATGATTTGCAATGTACCGCGATGGAGGTTGTTCGTACAAAGTGATTCAGATCGTCTACTATCGTCATTGAGGCTCAGAAAGCCAAGTACGACGACCGCATACGACATGAATCAAAAGGGAATTTAATCAAGCGAAAAGGAAAAAAAAATTTCCATGGATAGCATATAACCACCAGTAGTGGCGTGATAACATATTTACGATCGCGAAGATGGAAGCTGCATCGCGTTCGAATGGAAGATTTTTGGTATTCCGTCACGATCGAGGACCAAATTTATTTCTACCATACGATAGGAATGCGATTATCTCACCACGAATCCCTTCGGGGCAAGCTTAGAAAAGAAAAAAAGGGGTGCTTTATTCATCTGTAACCGGTTACAAAGCATTCTGTTAGGATTTACGCGCTTTTGTAGAATTGCGCTTCAGGATCAATCAATTGCAACCGATGACCTATTACAATATTATTTTTATCATTAATTACGCATAGATAAAATTTAATTTTTTGACCTCTTATATGAAACAATTTTATATAGAAAACTGACGTTTTTCTTTTAAATTAAAGAAAAAAAAGATTAACACGCGCGCTGTGGGTATAATCGTGATTTGTATAATATATAATTTAATTGTAATCTATATAGTATGTTTAATTTTAATCTTCATGAATCGTTAAATATTATAGAATTATGTTATTGCATTGGATTTAGCAATTATTTCTTAATTAAATAACAATAAAAAAAAGATTGCGTTTTTTTATATCGTATATTGCATCGCGATTTTAATCGACAAACTTAGTCTGATTGTGAATCATACAATTATCAAATATTGATATTTGATTTATGAGAAACATACATATATGACGGTTAAATTGATGGAAATATTATTTTCGCTTAAATAATCATTATTCGTTATTGACTGACACAGTACGTATGCTGTCAAAAAATTTCACAGACACAACACTTTTTCGTAAAAAAGCTACTGATTTATGTTGAATTTTTTATGAGGGGGAAAAATATTGTTTTATAATATTAATTTTCCTACTTAAAAAATATATAAAAAAAAAAAAAAAAAAAAAAAAAAAAATTGTGCAACACGATTACTATTATTTTCCAAGAGATACTTGTTCTTATCAATATCATGCCAGATATCATACATGTATGCTGGTAGGTAAGTTATCGACTGTAATTCAGCATCTTGCTGCTGTATAATTGTGCGTTAATGCATCGTGCCAGGAAGATGATTACACACTTGTTCTTCAACGCTTTGTAACCGGTCGTGAATAATCGTTGGGACCGTTGTTGTGATAATAATTTTGATAGACAATGATTGGGTCGAGCGAGACTTGTGTAGATGATTCCAGCTTGTATCGGAGAAGTTGCTTTCAGATTTTATACACGATGCGTTTTTCTCATAAATACGATATATTCATTTTGCTTTAACATTTTCCTGTTGATATCTGAAACTATATTGAATAGGTCGATTATCGAATTTTACGGCTATATATCGTTAATTATAAACGTTTTTCAAGACTCGTCTTAAGAGCATCGACTCTTTTATCACAGATCAGGATACACGTACATAATAATCCCTCGATTGGTCGCGGATTAATTAATTTAGCATACAATCGGTGATTTTTGCCGGAGGAGATAAGAGACATGGAATCGAGACGATGATTTCGATCGTTCTTTCTCTCTACCGTTGAATTCGGGACATCTTAGACGGTATTTTGTATAAAAAAAACCGAATAGAATATGTGAGTAAAAAGTCTTTCTGGAGATCATTAAGCCTGTTCTTTTTAGGTGTACTTCCTATGCTTTCCCTCTTCCTTTTTTCTCTTTCCAAAGCGTAAATGTGTAGTTGTTTCGTTTTAAGTACAGAAAGCGTGAAAGAGGAGTATAAATCTAATAAGAACAGACCTAATGATCAATCGAGATGTATCGCGTCGGAGGAGGATGCTCTAATAATTTTATTCATTAATTTTAATCCGGCGAATATAAGATGAAAAACGGATTAATCGCAATCCCCTTCGACGGGGGATTGCGCCCCTTATGTTATATACGTCCTTGTATATTGCTAAGTTTTTAATTGTATGTATCCGGACTTGATCATTATCTCCGCCATTTATGTATTTTTATTTAAAAATATATATTTTGTCATTTATGTGTGTGAAAGTGAACGAGTGTAAAAAAGAAGAAACGAAGTCGCGGAAAGATGTGTGTGTTTAATTTTTTTATTACTTTAAATGATAATGATTTAAGTTATTATGATTAAAACAGATGTGATGTTGATATTTATTTTGTCTAACACAGGTCAAGATAAAGAAATTGTTGGAAAGCAGAGTTCGAGATAGTGATCAAGCCCCGTTTTTAGTTTACGTATACGCGATCGAGAGGGACCGATCCGATATCGATCGCGGTCGAAGGGCATAAAGAAAAGAAAACAGTAGGTATATATAAATTGATACGCGCATAATTTTTCGCGGATCAGCCGACGAATTCGCGAGCGAGAGCTGATTGTGGGTCAGTTGATTTGTTGGTCAAACGACGAGCGCACCCACATATTCGGAGCAGCATCCCCCTTCTCACCCTCAACCGACCCCCTTCTCTCTTGTAATTAATTTACATACACATATTCATTGTAATACCGTTCACACACGGGCTGCAAAACTCGCGCGGCTGACCTCACACATTCTACGGATTCACGCATGATTATTGACATAATTATAGATATCTATTACGAGTATAGCATTCAGTAGCATAAATAATAAAGTAATTAAATAAATGTCACACATATATCCTATCAAGTATAATATTTGACGTACTTTTATATAATTTCGATAATGGTAATTAAAGTAATGAGTTATTTTTTTTCTCGTCAAATTTTAATGAAGAAAAAAAAGAGAAAGAATTTTAATAAATAAATTTTGTTTCAGATTTACAAGGTAAGTGAACCTACATTGTACATTGTAGATGTAGAACTTTATAATCGAAAATATAGCGGCTGTACAAGCAAAATTCACGAGTCGAACATTAATAAGAAAACCGTACTTTTCTGTTGTTGAAGATTGAACCGCATACGCACATAAATAGCATTACTAGACTATTTGATATGATTAAGAGAGAAACTCATCACATTCTTTAGTCGCATATTCAATACGCTTGCGTTTAAACACATTTGACAAGCTGACCCTTTTGAAAATGAACATTTCCAAAAGGATCAGCTTGTCAAATGTTATCTTCTCGTTTATGTTATATATACTTACAGAGACATATATTTATTGTAGGTGTATATCAGTCATGGAAACTCGTTTGATTGCTATGTAGAACATAATGGGGAAGGAAGAGCG